CGACGTAGCCGTTCTGGCACGCGACGTACAGCGGCGTGGCGCCGCCGTCCTTGGCTTGGCCGACCGCCGCGCTGGCCTCGAGGAGCAGCCGGGCGCACTCGACGTGGCCCTGCTGGCACGCAATGAACAGCGGCGTGGCGCCTTCCTGATTGGCTTGGCCGACCGCCGCGCTGGCCTCGAGGAGCAGCCGGGCAACGTCGAGGTGGCCCTGCTGGCACGCTCAGCGGCGTGAAGCCATTCTGCTTGGCTTGGTTGACCGCCGCGTTCGCCTCGATGAGCAGCTGGACGCACTCGAGCTCGCCCTCCTGGCACGCAACGAACAGCGGCGTAAATCCGTCCTTATCGGCTTGGTCGACCGCCGCGCCTTCCTTGAGAAGCAGACTGGCGCACTCGAGCTGTCCCTCCTGGCACAACAGCGGCGTGCAACCACTGTCCTCAGCCTGGTCGACGGCCGCACCGGCGGCGAGGAGCAGCTGGGCGCACTCGAGACGGCCCGCCTCGCACGAGAGTGCGAGTGCGGAGGCGCCTTCGCCGTCAGCCGCCCCGACGCTCGCGCCGGCCTCGAGCAGCAGCCGCACCGCCTCGGCGTGCCCGTGCCGAGCGGCCCAGGTCAGCAGCGTGTCCTGCGTGTCGGTGTCGAGCCGCGCGTCGAGCCTGCCGCGCGTCCGCCGCCCGGAGAGGAGGGCGCGCAGCGCCCCCAGTTCGCCCACCGCCAGCTCGGGCAGCAGGGCTTCTTGGCTGACGGTGCCGCTCATGCCGTCAGAAAGTGTGCCACATTGGCTCACGGCCCTCACGCCGCCGCGACTCTGGTGAGTGACAAACTTCGGTACCCCTCTCGAGTACTCGAGGTTCTCGAGGTGGATATCCTTTGGCCGCGTTGGGTAGCGAGGATTGGTGTAACCCGAGCCACGGAGGCGTGTTTTCTGACGGCCGACCGTCACTGCACGGAGTTGCCCCTTCTCCGACTGCCCCGGCTAGTTCACGAGTTTCGCGGGAGTGACCCCATGCGTCAAACCCGAGACCTAGCACGGGTGGGTTGGAGGGAGGCTCGCTGCAGGGAAGGGCTGTGTAAGAAGCCGATCCCCGTAGTCCGCCCCACTCCTCCCCATCGGGCCGCATGAGCGGCCACGCCTCGCAGATTCGTTTTCGCGCCTGGGTCAGGCGCGCGGGGCATCCCCCGGGTCGCTCGACCAGCGATCCGGAGAGTGGCCGCTATGCGAAGGAAAGAGTGGGGCCCTCGGGGTACGCCTCGTCCGGCCCCCTCCGAGGGGGGAAGGGAATTGCGGGGTCCCCACGGGCGCCTCAGTTCGGCCCTCCCGAGGGGGGGAGGGGAGCAAGGGGGTGGGGGGATCGGGGCGGTGGGGAGGGGTCTCTCTGTTTCATGGGTCTAATACTTGCCTTTCGGGGGGGGGCCTCAGGAAAGGCGAGTCCAGCTCAACCCTACGTCTTCCCCCCCTCCCTCGAGGCAGCGAGTAGGCAGCGAGAGGAGGTCTCGAGCGCCTATATGAGGGTATGTGAGATGGTGATGGGAATGGGTGGTCGGGCGGGCGTACCCCTACTGGTGTGCACCGGACCTGCGGCAGCGTATGGCGGCGTACACGCTATCTTTCGGGCGGTTCAGCCCCTACTGTCCTGCTACACAATTCCCGGCTAACATATCTCTCTTCAAGTGAGTGAGTCTCCTCTGCGCGATACACTCTCTCTAAACATACAACATTTACATTTCTCATTTGGCCAGGCTGCCTCGGGCAAGGGGGCGTTCGTGACTCTCGATTGCGGCGACCAAGGTTGCGGCGTCGCTCCTCTCGTCGCCCAAGGCGCCCGCCTTGCCAAACCAGGGGAGGTGCCACTGGGGTGTGGCTGAGAAGAGAAGAAAGGAGGCCAAGGCGGCGATGGAGGAGGCCAAGGCGAAGCTGAGTGGGGCCGACTCGGCTGTTGAGGGGGGCGAGGCGGCGCTCGCGGCGGCGTTGTCCGCCGCCAAGGAGAGGCGCGCGGCCACTGCAGCTGCGATCATGGCAAAGGCGGCCGCTGCCCGCTGCCAGGATGGCGGCGGATGCGGCACCGCGCTCGTAGTGGAGCTGCGAGGGGCAAACGCGTGGCCGCTCTCGGCACGTGTACGGGAAACTCGGGGACTCTCTCTGAGGACGGTGGCGCTGTGCGGTGTGGTCGCGGAACGCGGGGATGCTTGGTGTCGGTATACGGTCGCGTTCTCTGAGATAGTGATACGGCGTTCTCGGTTCTGCAGACTCGAGACTGCAGTAGAGAGAGAGAGAGAGAGAGTAGTGAGTAGAAGACGTGTCTGCGGCCTGTGTTCGTGTTATACCTCGCGGGCCCCCGGGCCCCAGAGATGTGCAAGAGAACGAGAGGCTTTCCGCCTCTCTCGCGCCCTCTTGGGAGGGAGTTCGGGGCTCGGGGGCCACCCACGCGCCGCACTGGGACTGATCTTGTGATATGACAGTCACAGAGTCAGGAGGAACGGTCTATTGCACAGCTCGTAGACGTAGTACTATGCATCTGCAAAAACAATTGGCACAGTGGGAATGCGCGCAGCACCACGCACAGCTCAGCTCAGCAGCATGTGCTCCCTCTGCCTCTCCCTCCGCCGTCATCGCGCCGCCCCGCAGCGCGGCCAGTAGGGCGGCGGCTCGTCTCCTGGGTGGAGGAGGCGGTGCAGGTACTTGTGCGTGGGCGAGCCGTCGAAGCCGGAGAGGAGGAAGACCACCACGGCGGCGGCGACCTGTTGACAGAGGCGCGAGCACGTGAGGGAGGCGCGTGCGGCGCTCCGCCCGAGAGGCGTTTGGGGGTCGCGGTGTCCCACCGAGAAGTAGCCCGTCGAGGGCACGACGGAGATGGTGAAGCACAGGTCGGGCGGGTCGGTGCCGGGCGGGTTGGGGAAGGCGGTGGTGATGTCCTTGCAGATGGGCGTGTTGTACGGCGTGAAGAGGGTCGCCGTCATCGGCTCGATGGTGGTGCCGATGAGCGGCACTGCCACGAGCATCACCTGCCGCCGTCCCGGACCACGCCCAAGCTCAGTCCAAGGCCCGCGCCTCGGGGGCACCTCGAACGCGGCGGTGAGTGGCGGGCGCCGCTCGGCCATCGCCAAAGCAGACCCAAAAGCTGCGGCTGCACATCTCGGCCCAATCTCGTCGGAATCGCGCCTCGAGAGCGTAATAGTACGAGACGGCACGCGAGCGGGCGTGCAGCCTCTGCGCCGCCGCGACGGTCATCGGCCGCAGCAGCAGCAGCAGCAGCGAGGCGCCGCGCAGCAGCGGGCAGATGACGATGAAGACCTGAAGATCACACGCACGCTCCCTTGAAGCGACGCCCTGCAGGCGGCCGCACCAGCAGCAAGCAAGCGGCGACCCAAAATGTGGAGGACATGAGCAGCGCCCAGCCGCCCGCCTCTGCGGAGAGCAGGCCGAGGTTGACCATCGTGTACGCCCCGCTGAAGTCGAAGCCTGTCCACGGCGAGGGCGGGGGGGCGGAGGAGTGAGATGAGGCCCGCCCCCCCGCCTCGCGGACAAAGCCGGCGGGCGCATGCACCGAGGGAGTCGAGCAATGGGGAGATGTGGGGAGATGTGGGGAGATGTGGGGAGATGTGGGGAGATATGGGGCGCACGCGCCGAGCGAGTCGAGCAGCAGCGCCATGGAGCCGGTCAGCCGCCGCTCGAACAGCGGCGTCGACATGGCGACGCACGTGATGGCGAGCTGCACGATCACGAGGCCCTACACACGACTCGCCTCGCGCCCCGTCCAGCCGGCTGTGTCGCGTGGGCGT